GCATCATCTGCTCCAATGCCAGGCTGGTAGGCAAACTGAAGTGGGTCCAATGATGAGCTCACCAGGAGCCAAAGCTGAGCCAGGACCAGTCGCTCCAGGGTCTTCATCAGGTGGGATGTCATAGCCACCGGCCTGTAGCTTAATTTGAAAACTTTAATGTTAAGCTGATGGGAGCACGAGCTAGGGAGGCCATGTGGCTGTGTCCCTTGCCTTGTTCATGCTGATACCTCATCTTGGCTAGGTTTTTTTTATTGTCTGCGTTGATAAAGCAACTGGAACTGATTCCTGAATTCTCTCCGAATGGAGATGGCAAACCTGTGCCCAGACAGCCTGAGCCCTTGTTGAAGAACGTCATTATTCTCTCTTGAAAAAACCAAAGTGGTAACAACTCAAATCACCAAACCAAAACAAAAAAAGGAACTGAAATTAAAAGAAATCTTGACTTGACAAATGACCAAAAAGGACAAACTGAAATATTGAGCTCAATGGGACTGTGTTTCTTTGGTTTGTTTTTGTTAAGCTGGCTTATTATTAGTGTTATTGTGGATTTTGTAAAATGTGTCTTATTTTATTTTCACTTTTTCACAATATAATAACTGTTGTCGCTCATTTCCTGCCTCCAGCCACTGTATTTAGCATTCATCAAAGTTACTACTGTAATCCTGTCAAACCTAGGTCTATACTTTTGGGTTGTCCTAGACTACTTAATATGTGTCAGGGATTACATGGACTTTAGCACTTATTTAATATACTGCCTCCATCAACAACAAACACTGTCTACGGGGAGATGTGTAGTCAGTGATTGCCTGCAGACTGTCCTCACACTTCCCCCGCTCAGGCATAAAACTGGGTGGGAAAACCCTGACAGGTATCCAACACACCAGTGAATAATTCATGTATCAGGTGTTGGGAATAAATAATTTTTCAGTGCCTCAATAATGCTATGCTTTTTATTAATAATAAGTGTTATAAAGTTATATAGCGCAGTATTAAGTGGACACAGCCCTGAAAAATAAAGGCATGAAACCATGTTTCCTTGTGGAGTAGATAGCTGCAGACTCTCGCTTACGCTCGCCTGGGGAAAATGTAGATAAGAGAGGACCATCTCTAGTGAAAAGTTACTGAGACACTGTTGTTTAGATTAGAATGAGGGAGTAATAAAACTCCGTAATAAAACTGTAATAAAACTGTCAGGGGCACACCACTATTTTGAGATCTGCAGCAACGTGTCTTGCAGGACGCATCTCCCTTCTAGAAGTATTGTGAAAGAGAAATAAAGTGTTAAATGGTCTACTGAGCAGTGTTTTGTCTTCCATCGGATGCCTCTGAGGAATCAAAAGAACTCGGTGAAGAGTTGATATTAACACAGGAGAGACTTCTCTGCAGGGTCGGCTGAAGCTGCAGATTGTGAGCTAACTGATTCTAACATATAGAGAAAGAAAAGTGGAGGAAAGACAGAAAAAGCAGACTGAACCAGGAAGAACCAGGGGGACAACATCTTATACAAAAAGATGTTATATGTTATTCTGTCTCGTTATTACATCTAGTTGGTATTGTTTTTACCTCAAATGTGGTTTAACCCAAATAAACTAAAGTAGATCAACATTATGTGGTTTGTATTAGAAAGCCACATGATGCTGATCTACTTTAGTTTGTTGATATAGATCTGCTTTACTTTGTTGAAGCTGATAATATTTATGCATTGATGTTGACCTGTTTCACTTTGCTTGATCTGCTTTACGAGCAAATGAAGAAAAAAAAAGAAGAAACAGAAAGAAAGTCTTGGTTTCCTGGATCTGAGTACAGTATGTGACGTCACGCTTCTTCTTTCCCCAGAAATGTGTCATTGACTTCAGGCAGCGAGAGCACAGAGAACCACAAGACACGGAGGAGGGACAGCAGAAGGTGAGACTTTATTATTATTGCTATTTACACAATTTGTAATATAATATAGCTGGTAGGAAACTTGTGAATTTACCTCGATTCATAAGAGCGCGTTACGCCAGCATAGTGAGTCATAGTTGGGTCCACTTGTCTTTTTTTTTTTTTGAGGGAGAAGATATAAACAGAGTGAATAAACCAAACCAAGTCTTTGTTTTTTGTATAAATAAGTGTAAAATGGACACGTGAATGTAACCTAGTGAAGAAGTAAGACTCATCTGAGAAAAGATGTTTCTTTGTGGTTGATTATGTGCCCACTTAGACGCGTTACAAGCACCCACCTTCTACAAGTAAGCATGTAAAAAGGGGAAGTATTAAACACAGGAAATTGCTCATTGTAAAGTGGTACAATGGCGTTCCTGTGTTTACTGTACGGTGGCTGAAGACTTTATGCTCATTAGTGTGTATCTGTGTCTCTGTCTTTCTGTGTGTGTGTGTGTGTGTGTGTGTGTGTGTGTAAAACACTCAGGTCGGCCATGGCTGTGTTTCTGATCCGTCTTGTAATTTGGTCCACTTCGTTGGTTTTGTGGTTCCCTCAAAGTGGTAGGTGGATGATTAATCGCAATGCAAACATGTCCTCAGGAAAAAAAACAATGCTTAAGAAGAATGGCTTTTGGCAATGTGAGAATCAAAATATTTTTGCAGGAAATACCAGGAGCTTTATTTCAACAATGATTTTACTTTAACCTTTTTTAATCTGGGTGGTGTCTGACTTTGTTTCCTGCTTCCTTTACACAGTAAGCTAATCAAAACTGGACTACTCTAAAACCCAGTTTATAGAAAGAAAATACAAAATTCTGATCAGTTAAGAATTTGTGCTGCAGATTAAATGTGTGTTTTCTTATAGCAGCGACTGAAAGCCATGGTTTGGATCTCTGTCAGGAGTTTCCAGATGAGGTGAAAATGAGAATAAGCTTTTGTATAAACACTTTTGTTTTCTAATGACCTCACAGACGCAGTGCATACTATTTAAATAAACTGTAAACTGTACATTTTTGTATTAGATGGTTAAAATACAAAATTCAGTGGAGGGGATTTCACATAAAGAGCTTTCAGAAATAAAGGAGACGTTTATCTGCCTCCTCGACTCAACAAATAAGCTCAACTGCTCCTGGTCATTCAACACCTTAGAGAAAGATACTCGGCTCTCTGTGTTTATCAGGTATTGTGATATTTTTAAAGGTTCATTTTAATGTGGAACAATGAACGCTACACATTGTTTTAACTCTGTACTTCTCTCTTCCAGTGTCTGTAATGAGGAAACAGCAATTAAGTCTCTAAGCCGTACTTTTGCGGAAAGAGTTGGATCGATGTCCTTGACTGTCAGCGAGGAAATATCAGGCGTAGTCTTACATTTTAACATGTCCCTGCACAACTGGATATCTTACACCTACGTTTATGACATGGACACACTAGGTAATTCTATACAAACAGTGTTGAGTAGTTATATGAACCCAATTCAAGGAGGAATGTTTGGAAAGCTCATAAACCCATATTTTATTCACAGCAGAGCACAGAAAACATCACATTTTTAAACAGATTTACTATTTCAGGAAAATGAATTTGTTGCCTGCAACACATCTCACACTTTGGGATGGGGAAACAAAAGGCTGGAAAAGTAAGGGATAATAAAAAGAAACAGCTGAAAGAACATTTTGTTACTAGCAACAGCTCAGTGACAGGATTGAGCTTCTTAAGAGAGGTAGTGTTTCCCAGAGGTTTAGATGGGCAGAGGTTCACCAATCTGCAAAAAACTTTGTTTACAAAGTTGTGGAACAATTTCAGAATGATGTTCCTCCCAGTGACTTTGAAACACCTCATTATATATGATACATAATATCATCAAAAATTATGAGAATCGGCCGAAAATCAATATTGGACCCCTGTGGTCCTTGGGCTCTCGGGTCTCTGCAGTGCATTAAAAGCAGGCATTAATTTTAAAATGGACTGAGGAAAAGTGGAAAACTGTTCTGACGTTACACAAATCAAAATGTGAAAGTCTTTTTGGAACACATTGTGGGCTGAGGCTTGAGGTTAGGTTTAGGTTGTGTTGTTGTCAGATACCTTACTGATCATGTGCTTGTGTGTGTGACAGAGCATCTTCCTCCACCTGCTAACATCTCTGCATCGTTCAATAATGATAACCTG